CACAGCATTAGTGGCTTACTTGTGCTTTGAGGGAAGCACCTCACTGCCACTCGCTAGCAGTACAACTTTGCCCCCATTTATACTATCATGGTGACTGGTTTTAGTAGGATGGATATCCGAACCACGCATCCTGGCACTATAGGACCTGTAAGAACGTTCATCCCAGTCAATGTAACCCGACCACCAATTCAAAGTAGCAGCCGTCGGTCGAGATATGGTAGGCAGAGTGTTATTAGTATTATACAGGTGTCTAAGATAGACCAAACCACCACAGACTACAAAACTACAGTGACTATGAATATTGATGAAAAGGTTTCAGCTAGCAAACGTTCGATGACTTCACAACTAGTAAAACTTCAAGATCAGATCTTCAGATATTATTTCTGCACTTTTCTTTTTATCAGACACAATAGCTGAAACAGTAAGGTGTCATCTCAGAAGATTTATATGGCTTACTCAAGCCTACAGGTACAGTCAGATAGAGACTATACTGGGCTGCCAAAAAGGCACAAAAGTGGTTTACTTCTTTAGCCACTGTTAGAAATGTCTGATTCCCCGTATCACGCAACAACCAAGTGATTATATAAGCTCTCACAGCCTATGCATAAATAATTAGTAAAACACAATACAATTTTGATCACAGTTTGATATCAGCTACAGAACTATTGAAAACCAGCCAGAGAATATTGGAAAACCGTTTCGTCCTAATCCGGGACTTATCGGCAGTGACTGGCTACAGGACGAAGTTGCCTAGAGCTCCAGTGAAACGTTGTGACCAGTAGAGTCCATGCAGTCGGGAGTGAAGATGGAGTTCCCACCGATGACAATGGTTGGTGGTCGCGCTAAAATCACGAACTGGTAGAAGTTAGAATTCATAGGCTGACCATTGAGTTAGTGGGTCCCAGTGGCTGAATGTGATTTACGAGCTTTCCTTATAACCCGAAGGTCCATGGTTCGAATTCCGGTGGGTGCATGCTACCTGTGAGTCCCCAACTAGGACGAAACATCTGTCCAGTGCTCCCTGGCTGGTTTTCAATGGTTCTCTGACTGATGTCAATACGTGGTTTGGATAATACCTTTTGATGTATCCGCTTTGTTTAACTAATATATCATTAATTGAAACAATGCATTCTATATCTAATGAAATCATTAAGCAAAACACAGACATCGGTATTTCTGTATCCTCTATATGAAAAAACTTATTTTAAGATGTAAGATAAATGCTCATTTCTTGTTCAAGAAGGAATACTATAGGTAGATTGTTGGTGTGGCTATGGGTTCACCATTAGGTCCAGTCATAACTGACTGTTTCTTCTCTGAGTCAGATAGTAGACCGTTTAAAGGAGTAATTAATGAAGTGGAATTCTACTGTCGATATATGGATGACACATTTCTAGTCAGGAGAAACGACAATGAAGAAGCGGATGATCTTAACAAGTTCAGTAACGAAGAATATAGTGAAAGTAATTTATTCTTAAACGGCTTTCTAATCAGGAAAGAGGATGGTACACTAAGAAAGCGTGTATGCAGGAAATCCACAACGATAGACCAGTACACTCACATTTTGACTTTTACACCTTTGAAATATATAAACGCAACTTGGTAAAGTGTTAAGCCCATACAGCTAGGATAATCTGCTCAAATGACTATCCCAATTAGGGTCTCAAGATTTTCAGAGAATTGATTAGTAAAGATGGTTGGTTATCCAGATAAGTGAGTTAATAAAAATACGAATTTAGCACCAAAGCAAGGCAGTATGACAACAGCTCCAAAAAGGCCATTGTTCATAGAACTACAGTTTCTTGATGATAAACATCAGCGAAACAGCGCTTGAAGAATGCAGTTAAAAGAGTATTCAACACATCAGAGATACGCTGTCTCCGATTTTACGTTGGAGAAAGAAAGACAAGCTATCTAATTTCGCTTCCACTATCTGTAACTACCAGTTTGACTGCTCTTGTGAAGCTAGTTATATTGAGCAGGTTCATCATCGTACACCTGAACATCATCCTGCATGGTTGAGATCTATTCGTAGCTTTGTTTTAGCACACCTTGTAGACAGTGATCATAAAGTCGATGTTAACACAGCATTTAAAGTTATTTATCGCGTTCCCACAAACCTTAATTTTGCTTTACGAGTTCGTCATCTACATACAGCTGAATCCATCGGAATCAACTTAAAGAAGCCAAACCTGTGTGTTCATAAGAAATTTTTGCAACCACTTCCCTCACTTCGGCCATCGTTAAATGAATGTTACAATCTGACAGTTTCGCCCTCCCCATGAATCTTTCACAATTTATCACTGTCCTTAATTACTTCATTTTTCTGATTACTTCATCTTTAATTGCTTATTATGCATAAATCGGGTTTCAGGCACTTGATGGGTGGGGATTACTTCGGCAAACTTGTGGAGAGTTGAAGTCTTTTCCCTATCGATAATTTTGAACGTTCTTGCGACGTCCACCTCATGACCCCTGTGTCAAGGAGATGGCTGGCGATGGAACTGTTTAAAGCATTTGTTCCCTTTACACATAGGCTTTTTGGTACATACTCAGAAACTTGGAGGTATGCCCTTCTTTCTGTCCTTCCAATGTAATTGCTCCCGCACATACATGTTAATTTGTATGCACAGTTGGAGTTGACATGAGAAGGATATCTGTCAAGTTTTGATTGCACTAAAGAGCAAATAACATACTCTGTTCAAGTATGTTAAAACTGTTTCTGTAGATATGCTTAATAATGACTTTAGGGGCAAGAGTAAAAAATAGATACCAAAGTCAAGTGACCTTGATTTGACCAATCAGATAGCTCATTCATAACCCAGTTGAAAATGTCTCCTAGATTCGGTTTTTGACTTCTTTGTGGAAAATGTGTTGATAGGGGGGAATAGAAAATGAATAGGTGGAGGGATAATGACTTTGCAGAAGTATTGCCGGGCTACTGATGGTTATACATTCAAAAGCAACCACTTCATATGAGGAGGTCTGTAAAGATTGGTAGGTCGTACATAACTGGTGATTTTTTAGACCCTTTCTTCTCGAAATCAAAGCTCTCCCTTGGTTAATACATTGCGTCGGTGGCACAGTGGTTAGGACTCTCGCCGACCATGCACATGGTCCGAGGTTCGATCCCTTGCCGACGCACACCTGATATCCATGGTCGGCCTGCAAAATTTGGGCCACCGATATCCATGCTGAAAATACCATACTTGTATCAAAAGTACAGTGTGGAATCAAGCTGTAAATCAAAAAAAAAAGTACATACAACCAGTATCTGCTACAGCTGAAGAAAGAGACAATACATTGATTTAATATGTCTAAGACCACTTTTATGAGAATCCTGGACCAGTTTTTGCAGCATATTACAGATATATACCCTACATGATTCATTTTTATTACAAATATATCGCAGATACACTTCTTTATAAATTAGGTACCACTTTTCACCTGGAATAATCTGACTGGCTATTTCAAGGTCGTCTGAAGCTGGTGTCTATTCTTTACTGTTGCCACTTTGGGCTGCAAGCAGTTGATGAGAAGCCAACGAAATAAACAATGATTCTATCATGTTATTCTGCAAAAACCTCTGTTGGTTATTGCTTTATTCAAATAATTCCCGGCTTACAGGATTTCATCATGAGCTGACAACAGTTAGAGAACCATTGGAAAACCTGGGAGTACTGGACAACTGTTTCCGCCGTCCCAGTTTGGGACTCTTCAGAAGTACGCCCCCACTGGGTTTGAACCCAGGACCTTCTGGTTACTAGGCGAGCTCCTCACTACCGACAAATACTCGCCGAAGACATTGGCTAGCGGTTGCGCTATATCGTGAATTGGCAAAAGTTAGAATTCATGGGCCATTGGATAGGGTCCCAGTGGCTTAATGGTCTACGAGCTCGCCTTTTAACCAGGTCCTGGGTTCGAAGCCCGGTGGGTGCGTACTTCTGAAGAGTCCCAAACTAGGACGGATGAAACAGCTGTCCAGTACTCCCAGGTTTTCCAATGGTGCTCTGCCTGATGTCAGCTCATGATGAAATCCTGTAACCAATCAACCAAATCCCTACAAACCAATCCTTGAATTCCTGGCTTAATTCTTTCAGTTTTCTAATTGTCTAAATGAGGATTCCAGTCGACAGAGGAGTGTTTTCTAATGTTTGTTTGTAAGAACACTTTCCCAGTATCAAAAAACAATAATTGTATTTTTCTGTCTCTCTCTATGCATATTCTGAGTAGTGGTCATTTTGAGGACGGTAACAACAACAACAGCACACACACACCAAAAATCAAATAACCAATAAGGATGAAGTAATAAAAAAAAGAAACAAAAGGATCAGTTGTGCAAAAATAAATAAAAAACGATCGGGAATGAAAACAACGCCATAGTAGAGGTGCACACACATTCAAAATACTGACATATGTGTGTGTGTGTGTGTACTGTCTGACCCCTTCTAGTAGAAATTTTAGTAAAATTCACTCAATCATAATTTCATTTTTCAACACAAAAGAAGTGAGGCCGTAAAACTATCAAAAAATCGAGGAAAAATTTGTCAGAGTTAAAAGGCGACAATCACACATAAATAAATAAAAACTCGATGTGGAGGGGTGGGGGGAAAAGATTACTACTGCACATAGAGTGTAGTCGATGGAACTGTACAAATTGTCAACTATGAATCACAATCATAATGGAAGACGATTAGGGATTATCTCAACGATTGCGGAGTGAGAGAGAGAAAAAAAACAGCCGGTATACATACACAGTAGGAATGAAAAATAAAACAATCAATAATTATCAGGTGTCTTCCACATCTGACACGTATTCAGCTCACTTAAAATAATACAGAAAACAAAAGACAGGCACTGTGTGTGTGTGTGTGTGTGTGTGTGTGTGTGTGTAAAAAGGTAGGATAATCACAACCATAAGCTTTAAAAAAAAAGAAGAAAAATGAAGAGCACGTTGATCTGTAGAGCAAGCGCCTTCCTCCTTCCAACACTTTCATCACTTATTTAGTGTCTCGAAGATTTCTCAAAGAATTCGTATTATTATTATTAACTTCTTGAGAGAATAAAGTAATGATGCGACGACTGGAACGTGATTCTGGTGCATTGTTAGTATTGTCGTGAAGTTTCGCAGTGGAATTGGACACTGCACCCCAACGGATATTTGCCAAACTGGTTATTGGTCTGGCAATGGAATGTTTATGCCTAGATTTTGGACTGCCGTATAAGTAGGAGGAGGAAGCGGAGTAACTGTTACCACCACCAACACCATTTGTCTTCAGTGAATCTTCATTAAACTCTTGAGCAAATTGTTCTTTTAATACCTGTTTGTAGGATTACATAATAATAACAATCAGATACAGGTGATTATATTACAATGGACTAATCTAAAATGATTGTGTTTTTTTTTTGAAAGGTAATAGAGAAAACATTATAAGTTGAACGCATCTGGAATATAAGTACAATGGAAGGACAGAAAGAAGGGCTTCCATCAGGTTTTCAAAGCACATTCCAAGAAACTTATGCTTAAAAGGAAGCAGATATTTACATCGTGCAATAACCACCAGACACCCACCATATGGATACGGGTCATTTTGTCGAGATTTCCAAATCCTTCAAAATATTAAACATACAAAGGACAGTGAATCTACTAAGATTAACTGAAGCAATTGCAATCAAAAATCTCAGATCAAACTTATGCACACAGAAAGAGAGTGTGGTCAATCTCTCACTCCCTTGGTAACTATATCACTTTCATTACACTGATTAGTCATACACACTAGTGAGCTCAACTCACTAAGCAAGTTTTCAGTTTGATGAAATTTAACCTTTTGAGTTGCCATGTTGGCACTGTTTATTGGATTTTTCTGTTTCCTGTATTCTCTCACCCCCCTTTTTTTCTTTCTTCATAGTTTGATAGTATATAAATTGATGGTAATTTAAACAAAAATTTGTAATACTTATATTCCGGATGCGTTCATCTGATAATATTTTCTTTATTACCTTTCAAAAATTGAAGTATGAAATGTCATTATTTATAGCCATTGTAATTTCAGGTAGTTTGCAGCAGCAGTTGATGAGAACCTGTGAAATAGGAATGATGATGGATCATTTTATACTGCAAATCTGGTCTTTCTTTCTTTCTTCCTTTATCGAAATTTATCAAGGAAACCAAATGTATGAAACTGTTTGTTTGTTTGTTTAATTTTTGTACTAGATTAGATATATCACACACGGTGGAACAGTATTATTTACTCGATGACCAAGTTTCAAACACAATTTATTATATTAAATGGTTGGAGATAATCGGCAGGGAAACTTTGCTTGACCTAGGTTTAGTGCTAGTTGACACTTACCAGTCAGCAAGGCGTATCTGTAACCACGAAAGAATTCGTGACTCTTCTGAGATTTGAACCTGTGTCATCCAGTGCTGTCTGCAGTTACAGACGTTACCACTGAGCTATTCGGGCTCGCAATTGACCTCTTGTAGGACTATAGCGGATATTTTTGATTGGATACTAAGTCAGTAACGTGTGTGTGTGTGTCTAGTTCTATCTTTGGTGCAGATTGAATTATATCATCAGTCAAGATGGCACCAGATGACCACCATGCCACTGGGTGACTTGACATCACGGTGCACTGTGAACTGCTGGTATTTAGATGGTTGGAAGCAATCGGCAGTCAAACCTCTATCTCAATTTCATCGACTTTGAAAAGGCCTTCTACAGGCAGCGTTGACTACAAACTAACTTGGAAACTATTTCAATGCCATGGAATCTTTATCAACCTAAATCGACATTTTGGCTCCATGACAGTGAAACGTGTCAGGTGATCTACAACGGAAAACTAAGCGAGGCGTTCTAAGTGAATACAGGAGTTAAGACAAGGCTTGCTGTCGATTATCACCGATGATATTCTTAATTATGGTGGACTGGATTACCCGGAAGACTGTGCACAGAGAGCGAGGAGACAGGAATACTCTGGACCACCGATAGGAAGACTCCATCTAGAAGATCTGAATTTCGCCGATGATATATGTATAATGCCACACAAAGGCGAAAACTAACGAACTGGCAGCGAAGACATGACTCCAGGTGAACATAGAGAAGACGGAGGTGATGAAGACAACCAACGAACTGCGACGACGACAACAACAACAACCATCATCAATCATCAACAACGGGACAGATTAAACAGAGGTTACCTCCTTCATTTATCTAGTAAGCAGCATCGTTTCAACTACAGGTAGAATGGATCAAGATGTTAAAGTCAGAATCGGAAAGGCAAGATCTGAAATTAATTCGAAGTCTTCTGCATTCATCATAGGCAACATGATGCGAATTTTTGATACTAATATCAAGTCAGTGATTCTGTATAGTTCAGAGGCTTGTTACATGCACCCATAAAAAGCATTACCAACAGGCCAGTGCATACTTTCATCCGCAACTGTTCTCTTCGCTCGATACTGAGGATCAGATCATTGGCTGAAAAGCTTAAAAACAACAAGGAATGCTACCAAGGACGCATAACTCCCCCTCCCCCACCGCCACCAAAAACTGAGAAGGAATTGAAGATGGATCGGATTTACGTCGAGGAAACAGTTGAGTGTTACACATCATACACCGAGGCCGCGAATAAGAAACCACACGGTTTCGCGTGGGGGACATGAGACAGACGATGTGAGCAAGAAGTGAAAACCTGTGGGCAACCATGGAGCCAGTTAAATAATGACTGCAGAGAATACAGTGAGGTGATGTGTTGTTGAAGCCGAGAATGTTCCACTCGGAAGCTAACGGAGATTATTCAACCATTTTAACAGAAACGAAACACGTGGTTCAGTGAAGAGTCTATTTTAGGCGAATTCATTAACTTAGCTGTGTCCTTTTTCTAACTCCTCATAACATTTGTAAGTTTTAGAACCCTTACATGATTCCATATTTTCATTTGTTTCTATGTGCATCCTAATTACAACTCACTCATTAAACTATTTATCTTATTACGTAACCATATCACGACTATTCAACCTCTCCCTATGTCTTTTTGACAATACATCACCACTACCCGCATACTAATCTTTATCCCCCCCCCTAGTTACAATTTGATCACATTTTTAAAAGTATTTTGATTATTTCACTTCTCGGCTCTCTGAGCTAAGATCATGTGTAGTCTCTGTTCTTTGCAGTGTAATTTCTGCAACGGTCTCTAAACTGAGACCAATGAAATTACCTGTATTTTTCCCTTACGGACGGGTGCTGTGAGCTTGCTCAACCCTGTCCACGGGTCGGCCTCGTATTGCATTACCTCGAAGATTGGCCCATTTTGTGCGTCGGTGACACAGTGGTTAGGACTCTCACCGACCATGCACATGGTCCCGGGTTCGAGCCCACGCCGACGCACACTTGATATCTATGGTCGGCCTGCGAATTTCAGGCTACCGATATCCACGCTGAAAATTCCATACTTGTACCAAAAATACAGTGTGGAATCAAGCTGTAATCAAAAATAAAAAAAATAAAAACTAAAAGTCAATCTGAACGAAGAATATACTTCTTTCAATAATTTCTCCTCTTCAGGTTCTTACAATTATAAAATATTATAGTATTTGTTGTCGTTATAATAATGGCCAGTTAGTTGTGCGGCGGATACACTATTTTTAAGGTAGAATAACAGATTAGTTTCAGAAGAAAGTTTCGCCTACACTTCCACGACGTCCTACTAACGAGAAGAGAGAATGGTTCTGTCAAAAGGACAATATTCAGAAGGCTAGAGACCAAAGCTCAGTATACACACTTCCTTAGCTTCGTACCGATGAAATACAAACGTAATCTGATCAGGTTGCTTGGCATTTAGAGCCAGGTCGATTTGTTCCGAAGATTGTGTAGAGAAAGAACTCAGGTCATCAGACACATTCTAAGCGAGAATGGATGTCCAAAGAAGTTCATTAAAGCTAACATAGGTTACAATATCGTAAACATGAAGTGGCAATTGTGGAGAAAAATCCTCTATTTTTATGTCTACAATTCAGGGGAGATACTCCTGAGGAGATTCTATCTCAACGTTTAACCAGGACGATAAAGAAAACCGTCTACTCCACACGTCTGTGTCTACCCTTCAGCAGCTATCCAATGTCCACCGAGCAAATCAAAGATACCTTACCTAACTTTAGCTTTTTTCATGCATATACCATTTCTACTGTTCCTGTGATTCAAGTTATATAGTGAACATGATTAGTCAGGTTCGTCTACGGTTTCAAGAACATTTACCAGCTTGGTTCAGCAGGGGGGGGGTGAATTAAGTGCATAAAAAGTTCGATCATATCACACCTGGTCGATCCTAGACACAGCATCGATATTAACACAGCTTTCAGGGTTATAAACCAAATTCCCAAGTCGTTATCACGAACAGTTCGCTTACGTCTTCTACACATAGCTGAAGCTGCTGTAATAAGATAGACTAAACCGGAACTTTGTATCCAAAAAGAACACGTCCAGACGCCGTTCCTACTGTGACCAAACATGGATTGATGATTCTTCTTCTCACCAAGAGTGCTCCTTCCCCTTAACCCTCTTGGTTTTTTTTCCTTTGCTTATTAGTATTAGTATTCGGCATAATGTATACCCTTCTTGCAAACATTCTCTCAATACTATCGAATTTTCCATTTATACAATCCGGACTTATTATTGGTGATATTATCTCCTTTCTCAATATATGTCTCCACCTGTTTCATTTCAATCATTGGTTATTTCATGATGAGCCTCTCATTGCAGTCTTACTCCCTCCTCCTCTTTGATACATACTACTTTGTACTAGCCACTCACTCACTCACTTGACACCTTTTATAACCTTGACCTGACTTGTCAATTTTCCTACCCCACATTCTGCAAATCTATTATGACTAATCATCATCATTGTCTCCTATTTCACAATATTTTGTAATCGATTTCAGCCAACTAGCACATTTATCACACAAATACTACTATCTGTTTTGACACCCCATAATTAATCTGTTATTCTACGTTAAAAAATGTATCCGCTGCACAGCTAACTGCTGCGACCGTGGTGTAGCGGTTATCATGGCTGCCTTCCAAGCAGTCGATCCGGGTTTGACTCCCGACGGTCGCAAGAGGTTTCAGCGTCGGGGGCATAGCGGTTAGGACGCTCGCCGACCATGCACTTGGTCCGGGGTTCGATCCCCGGCCGACCCACTCCTTTACCTCGCTAAGCCAGAAACAATGCTGGTAAAGAAGACAGGTTGGGCACGAGGCTAGCAACCCCACCCTGCAAAAATAAACACTGCTAGAGAAACTTCAAGTCACTAGCTTGAAGCCGTATGTTCAACTGGGGAACGTGAAGGAAAAAAAATCCACGACTAACTGGCCATTATTGTAACGACAATAACAAACATTATAATATTTTATAATTATAAGAATCTGAAGAGGAGAAATTATTGAAAAGAATATTCTTCACTCAGATTGAATTTTAATTCACGATAAGGGAATATTTCACATAATTAAACAATCACCCTAACTTATCTTTATTCTTATCGGACAAACCTAATGTATGCACACATACAAAAATAATTATGTGCAACTGCGATTGTACAGATACTAAGTGGATGAATTTGCCGGTGAAAAGAGACTCTTCGCCAAAGTACGTGTTTTGTTTACATTAAGGTCTGAATGGGGATTACTCACGAATTATCCGATAACAGCAAACATCGAAACCAATAACATAAAGCGAATACACACCAAGCAAATATGGCGTAAAATCAAAAGTCAAAGCATACTTAAACCATTCGCTTAAGAAGACTATGCGTTTGATATCAGACTTACACGCACTACTTGTTTTGTATCTGCAATTCACTGTTTAGGGTCTCCGTCTAAATCAGGAAACTATCAAAAACTCGAAAGAACCTTGACGAACATTTTCGATTGTCATCTCAATTGCTAAAACAGTTAGCTAGTTAGTTAGTAGTCTCGGAACCAGAAGGTCATGGTTGTGCTGCTGAAAATCCGCTCATACTAGGGAGAAACAGCTATCCAGTATTCTCTATTTCTCTAAACGATGACAATCCGTGATATAGCTTGAGAATAGGATCATTCTGAACAGCATGACCACCTGTTAACCTTACCTGTTGTGGTAGCACTGACGACACACGCATGATACACTGGTTTGTTAACTCTTTGAGGTGAGGAAAGCAAATCATTCAACAGGCTAACTATCCATTAGTACTACAAAAGAGTTTAGGAGTTCTGTGTCTTGACTATGCTTAGCAATCATTGATAATTTCAGTTCCTAAGTGTGTCAGTGGATATAGACCATTAAACTAGTGTTATAAGTTTAATTGGACTTCAGATTTTCCCGTCAATTAATTGGACCGAAGTGCTCGATCTCAGGTTGACATGTCTGTCAGCTCCTTGAGCAGATGCTTCGACGGTGTCTGGGCATTTAATTAGTATTTAATTGGTGGATGGTGACTAGCAGTGGAATTCAGAATAACGCGCATTTCGTCCTATTTGGAAACTATGGGAACTGGGTTCGGGCCTCGATGGGAACATTATCACTCACTGAGAAATACAGGTATATCCGGATGACAAGTCGCAAAAAGGACGAAAGGCGCATCCTGGATTCCATCCACCAATTAATTATATAGTGTTTTAAGTTGTAACACATCAAGTACAAGTGATGCATATCAAATCATATGAATATCATGTAGAAAGAAAAGGATTACAATACACCGTTAAGTCAATTCAATCAACTTACAGTCTTAGTACGAGGTAATGATTCAGTGTATATACGTAATTCATTTTTATGTTTAATATCTAATTCTTGTAATCTCACTGTCTCTTGATCAATTAAAGCATTACGTTTTTCAATAAAACTTTGTTCTAATTCTTTTAATCGATAGTGAATACTTTGTTCCAATGCTTCACTTTGAGCTTTTTGTTTCGCCTCTAGCTGTGCCAACTCTTCATTTATACGCTTTTGATTTTCATCCATCTGTAAGCAATTTCCGTACACATATGCACCCAACAAAAGAAAGGAATATTTTGTAGTTATATCTTGCTAACTACTTATAAGTAGATAATAATGTATCGCAAAAATTACTAAATTATTAATTAATTAGTTCCGGCTGCTTTGACGCGGAACTTTCCTTCCTAAAAATCACAATTGCTGAAAAACAGTTACCCAAACAGATTTGTTAATAAAGACACGAAAGATAAGCAATCCAAACCGATCAATGTTTCAGTTCCAAAAGAAACTGTCTTCATGAATTTGAAATTCAAAATTGGTCAGGTGGCTTCAGCTGTGCTCAAAAATTGTCCTACTTTATCAGTCGGTCGGTCAGTAAGATGTTCTTTGTAGCTAAACTACAATTGACCAACTCACCAGCCGAAAGCTATTCTCTGTCTCTGCAAAAGATAATCTCTGTCGTCCAACCACCTCCATGTGTAATCATCAGTTGACTTGCTCTTTTTTTGAGCAAGGTAAGTTGGAGGTAGACAGAGAACGTTCATCACATTCCAGCATAGTTTTTTACAAGGAAGAAAAGAAATGTGTGCAGAAAACTGTCTGCCATTCTACCAACTACATATATATATATATATATATATATATATATATTTGTCTATAAACAATACTATGCGGTCATACGAATATGTACAACTTTTGTTACGGTTTCAAATACGTGAGAGATTGTGACCAGAATATTTTGGAGACCGTGGGTAAGTTTCACAATTTCTTTGAGTTACGTGTGGAACATCAGACTTAACGTTTTAATAGAAATGAGGCAGTTTTGATTTAGTGGGGGTGGCCTAGCGTCACCTTCAGCTTCCCCCCTGTTTCTAGAGCTTACTATAGGCTAGGAAATTAGGCGAGGTTTATAAGTGCGTCGGCTGGGAATCGTACCACGATCTAACTGTTTACTTCACACTAATGATTTAATACTGCGTTCCATACAAATAAACTATTTGTTGGAAATGAGTTCATTTCTTAATCAAGTTTATGTTGATTAGGATAGGAGGGGTTAAGTAAGTTCAACATTACAAATAAACCTTTTCTGAGTAGTGAATTTCCAATGTCAGAGGGCGTATTATCTTCTCAAATTATATTGTCGATGTAAGTGATCATAACAGAACATCAGAACTATGAAAGCATTATATCAACTATAATTCAAATGACATCGGGCCCAAATAAACGACCTGGCACAGCCAAGGGTGGATAGACTTCGGTCATCCTCATGAAATGCTCTCATGTGGCAGCGCGTTCATAGTCTCTCTTAAGTCTTATTCCCCGCCTTCACATGGAGATGTTCCTCACAAAAGTCAGAGAGAGAGAGAGACTGAGGGTGAACATCTGACGCTTACAACCGGATTGGTTGACATGAAAGTCTACGTAGAACGGCTAAAAGACCTTTCAATGATAGTGTACATGCGATCCAAAATCGGAAAGAATCAAATGGTGCATAGATTTGTTTTATACATCAGAAACAATGGGAATGCAGCTCCACTATCTTGTGGATCAGATTTCAACTCAAAAGATTGAGGTCTGGCGGCTTAAGACACAACCACCTGCTTCATTCTGAGCATCCAGGTAGTATTTCCACTCTTGCTCAACACAGCCTCCGGTACTAGCGGCGTCATTGTGTCAGCTCCTTACCAACCCTATGTGGAACTTACACAAACCCACTCAAGCTTATCGGTTCCAAATAATCCGACTGGCTAATGGAGCACTATATTCGGTGACTTCGTCGCACTCATTCCCTACAGCATTTGGCGCAGTTCCTACTTTGGCAGTTACACCTGATGTACCTGGCTTTGCTGGTCATAAAATGTTCAACCATGGACATTCGTTGAGTAATCTGCCTACATACTCAAATCACCAGTCTCCAGTTACTTCAAGTGCTAGTGTAACCACGAGGAACACGTCACCTGATCAAGCATCTCAAATCAATGTTAACCATGGCTCTGCTTCAGGTCCACAGCAATCTGGAGGTAACTTAGTCGCGGGAAAACGAATGCCTACAAGCAGTCAGCCGTGACTTAGTTAATCCCAGACAATATATTGATGACCTCATGTACAGTATAAAGTCCCTTGTGTCCCAGATACCCTTACTTAATTCATTTCAATAGTTTACAAAGTCTTTTTATTATAAATAGTTATAATCCTATCAATCAATGAACGCTAAAAACTACCACGATCACTTACCTGTTGTGAATTGATCCGAGATTGGCGTTGTAACGTTAAAATACTGCGTTTATTTAATGCCTTCAAAGATTTTGTAAAGTTTTTCCTCTCTATAGAATGTATAGTCTGTAGTTTACTGCGTTCCATGTTGATTGTCTAAAATGAACAAAAAAAGCAGGCGGGGGTGGGGGCAAATCGTTAAATGCTATTAACAGAACAAAATCGATATTATTTGTACTGTACATTAGACTCAGACTGTTTCATACAGGCAACAAACTGGTTGAAGAAGCAATGAAGAAAGGACTTCAAATGAACATAGAAATAGCCGAAGGTGATGAAGATACCCCACCAACCAGGGAGAACGAGCATGAGTCACCAACAACGGAAGAGAGAGAGAGAGAGGTTATTTTTGAGAAACTTCATGCATTTATTCCCCTTGATGAATTTGAATAAAGCAAGAACAACAGTGGTTTGTGCAGAATAATATGCTACCATCATCTATTTCGTTGGCTTCTCATCAGCTGCTGCTTACAGCCTAAATAAATTTTGAGGTTTAAGTACAGAAACGTTTTAACATACTTGCAAATTTTACATGATGTCTGTCAGTTGACAGAAAGTTCCACAATTAGTAAACAGTGCTCAGAAAATTGCGCTTATATAGTTTTTACACAAGCAGTTCAAGTTAAGACAAAATAAATGTATGCATATAATGGTAAAAAAGTTACATAATAAAGATGAGATGTGCGTTAGATGCATCTGTCTGTCTGTCTGTTTACGACATAGAATTTTGCACAAATGTGCGGAAGTTCAAGTCGCCACACTCCGTGTAGCACACAAGGTAAGAGAAGAAAGTACAAGAAATGCATATTAGAGACAGTAAACAGAGGGGTGAGACAAAGGAATAGTAGTAACGAAGAACAACATAATTTAATTGGAAATCATGAGTCACAGGGAGTGGATGCATCTGCGCCACTGAGAACGATTTTAATCCATGTCACCAATTGTTTCCAATCATTGGTTTTTACCGTCCCGAGGACCCCAACCAGTCAGGAAGTCTACACCTTCCTACGTGGCTTAGACTAACTGTTGTAGATTTCATTGACTGGTGCCATATTTCAGTTTGACCCCCGCTAGCTCTTTTCCATCCTGACCCTGAATCCACTAACATTTCTCGTCGAGGAAGGCGATGACTAGGCATACGTAACACATGTCCTAACCATCTCAGTCTTTGTAACTTCACAACTTCGTCGATTGATTTCCCCTGTTTACCTAGAACTCGACGCCTAACCTCAATGTTGCTCACCTTATTATGCCACTTTACACGGGAAATACAGCGCAGGCACCTATGATCAAAGACAGCTAGTCTTTTCATGTCTTCCACTCTCAGTGGCCAGGTCTCACAACCATAAAGGAGGACGGAGCGGACTGATGAGCAGTACACCCGCCCTTTGGTCGATAGTCGAACATCTCGTCTACGCCAGAGTCGGCGTAAACTGGCAAATGCGAAACGAGCCCCCTGTATTCGTGTTGAGATTTCGTCAGAGATCGACCCGTTCGGGCTGATGGTACTTCCCAAATAAGTGAAGCGGTCAACGTGCTCTACCACTTCACTTCCTATTTTTAAACTAGGCGTCGATGTAGTCCAGTCCTGTAACATCATCTTGCATTTGGCGGGAGCGAATCGCATGCCAAACATTCGTAGATTGTGGCTCAAGGTGTTTAGAAGACTCTGCATTTCGTCAGCGTCTTCGCCTAGAAGGACTATATCGTCTGCATATTCCAAGTCAACGAGATTATTCCCGGTAGCAAGTCAATCCCTGAGTCACTGAAGTCACTTAGGGTTAAGTCCATTAACACATGTATGATGAAGTTGAATAGAAAAGGGGATAATGGGCATCCTTGACGGACACCACTAGTCGTCACCAGTTCAGATGACAGCTCGCCGTAAGCCCTCACCTGGCTGTATGAGTACGAGTAGAGTGCCTTAATCAGTGCAATATATTTTCTCGGAATTCCCTTTACAGCCAAGCATCTCCAGAGAACTTCTCGATCGACAGAGTCGAATGCTGCCTTTAGGTCAAGAAATATAATGACTGTTGGACGCCGGTAGGAATTCCTATGTTCTAGAATCTGTCGGAGGGTGAAGATATGATCAATACACCCTCTTCCTGGTCTAAAGCCTGCCTGGCTCTCTCGTGTTTGTGCTTCCCGAGCACCACTCAGTCTACGCATGATTATTGAGCCTAAGACTTTAGATACTATATTAGTCAAGCTAATCCCTCTGTGATTATCACAGGAAGACTTGTCTCCCTTCTTGTATATGGGGATAATCAGTGACTTACACTAACCCGATGGGACTTCTTCTGATTCCCAGACGCTCCCTAGTACCTCAGTTAATCCGGACAGTAAGCTGTCTCCACCGTACTTAAATACCTCTGGAGTCATTCCATCAGGTCCCGCTGCTTTGCCTAGTTTCAGATTGGTGACAGCTTTAGTAACCTCAGTTAGTGACGGAGGACCTGTATCTATATCCCATTCAGGGAGGTGTTGGATGCTCGGAAGGTTGAGCGTGGCTGTGGGCAAATTAAACTGCCCTTGAAATCATGGTCAGGGTTGACCGAGTGACAGAAATCGACGAGGTGTTCTAAGATAGAGCTTCGCACACATTTCCTTTCTCCCTTGTAAAACCAAGCTGGAATATGTTCTCGTATCCGTGTGGAGAGCATTCTCTATATATAGAATAATTCATAGCATGGATAGAACTTGGAAAGTGTATGCAATTATAGGATTAGTAGGCAAATCGAATAAAATAAAAACTTTACGTAATATTGTGTGAAGTTTGATAACATAGAATTTAATGTTGCAAACCAGAACTGATTCAGAATGACAAGTGGAACAAGTGAAATAATACTGGGGACAGTTCAAAGTGAGAGTAGTAATAGTAACAATTGACGTAATAAGGAAGAGTATAAAAATTGAATATAGCAAAAATATTCATTCAGTTATCTATAAAACACAACATAATCGAGCAAAGAATATTCTTTTCGATAAATTCCTCTTCTGGCTCTACAATTATATACATGTTTATATACACAGAATATTCAAGGTTGGTAGTTAATAACAATATTAGTGTTTTTTAAATAATATCGATTTGTAAAGCAAAATCAATGCAATTACAGTTCACTAAAAATACTTAAATTATAATAGTAATAAAGATATAATAGCGAGTAGGATATCAACTAAAATTAGGAAATTTTCACGAAAATTGAGAATCATTCAAACCTAGATGGCCAAGGTAGGGACAGCGTCTGAACTAACTTCTTTTGTACGCACAAATTAGGCTTTTTAATGTGGATCCAAACAGCCTCAGCAATATTTAGTAATCGAACTCTTAAGGCGAAGTTGAGATTTGTTGGTATCCGATAAATGAAAAATGAAAAATTGGTAGAGCTAAAAAATGACTGGGGATTACTATATTTTAGCATAGAGGGATTAAGACCATGAAAGTTGGAGGGGTTGAACGAACTTTTCCTGTGCACAGAGATCTGGCTTTTCTGTTTCAGTAAGCAAAGCTTAAGCAATACAAATGATTTGGGTACGTAGTGATTTCGGTAAATTACTTTTCGCCTTGTAGATGACTTTAAAGGCGATGGCTATAGAGATAGGGTGATCAATATCGACAATATGTTCAATGATCGCACTTCTTATCGCTCCACTTCCACCTCTTCGTAACCATGCAGCATAACGTTCTTGCACCCTTTTGAACAAATCTCGTGTCAAACGACCGATATACCTAGCTCCACAAAGGTAGGTGAAGTGATAAACGCCCATAGAGTTGGTCAACAGCAGGATCTTATCATTCAGGTTATTGAACAGTTATAGTCGACTGGTAAAGACTACTCTAAACAATGCAGCTGGGAATATTCTTTTCAGGGACTGTGATATCCTTCTTTTTATAATATCGGAAGCTAAGTTGCCTTTGGATTCCAAGCTGATGTACAGTATTTTCTTGGATGAGGATGATAAGTTACGTTTCATAGGATTTGAATTTATATTCTTGTCTATAAAACGTAGTGGAAATCCATTTTCTACTTGGATTTTCCTCATAAGATTTAACTCATCCTTCACAGTATCAGGGCTATATATACGCTGCGTGCGAGTGGCAAGCGACCGGATCAGGTATCATTTTCGACCAATGGGTGCCCAGCTGTAGAAATTTGTCAGTTGACCATTACATGACACCTTTCAATAAATCAATCTCCTCAGAGTTCCATCGGTCCGCCTTGATAAGTTCACATCGGGGAAATCAATGCTTCACTCGTTCTCCATTTCGAGTTTGAATTTTATCGCTGGATGGCAACCATTAAATGCATTTAATATATTATTCAAATTGAAATCACTATTATAAATAAAAAAAGGTATCATCTACATACCTCTTACACATTTGAAACCTTTGGATTGTTGACTTCAACAAGACCATTTTCTAGACTGGAAAGAACATATCCAACCCCCCCCTCCCAGCTTATTTATGTAGATCAGGCAAATAGTTGAAACAGTCAAAAAATGGACAAGCACTCACTTCATGTAACCTCCAACTTCATCTAACACTTTACATGTACACATCAATAAAAATACTTTTGGAGTACTGACAGAAGAAGTATTACCTACGTTTCTGAAAGTATACCAAAGAACCTGAGTTAAAACACCTCAACAGCACTAAAAATTGAGACAACGCTGATTATATTGTGAAAATTAAGAAGGCATTCAAAATAATCATCAGAAAAATTTAATGTGCTGTGTTTTGCTGAGACATTTGTGTAGTCGAACATTTAAAACCAAAATTTCAATAAAGGCGAGAAAAACATTGATTTGTGCAGAATAACATGGTACCATCATTTATTTCGTTGGCTTCTCGTCAGCTGCTTACAGCCTAAATAAATTTTCAGGTTTAAGTACAGAAACGTTTTAACGTACTTGCAAATTTTACATGTTGACAGAAAGTTTCACAACTAGTAAACAGTGCTCAGAAAATTGCGCTTATATAGTTTTTACACAGGCAGTTCAAGTTAAAAAATAATAAATAAATGTATGTATATAATGGTAAGGGATGTGCGTTAGATGCATAGTGACTAATAAGTTAGGTAACAATGTACTGA